ACCACTCTGATTTTTTCTTCTAATTCAATATCAACCGCACAGACATTCGGCAAGTTACAATCATATCTTTTTGTTTTAAGATCTTTCCTAATCATCACTATGACTCCACCAAAACTATTCTCACCTTTTTGGTAGTAGATCGAACTATTCGGGAATAATTTGTTTAGCCATGGTAGTTTAAATGCTCCAGTTTCAACCAATATGATGATATCGAATTTGACAGTACATGCAAGTAGCTGAACCTCATTCCATCTATGCTTAAGACCACGAACGTTAAAAGATAGACAATGAAGTGAGTTAAAAGAAGAAAAAGTATCTGCACGAACAAATTTTTTCCATCCAGAAAAGCAAGAAGAAAGAGTACACAAACTTTCCCATTCGGCTAGAATACTCTTAAATAATAAAAAATCGAAGGGCGAGAGGTTATTTTTAGCACAATCTAGAAAAAACGACCTATGAGATAATTTAGCTGATGGGATACAAGAAAAAAAAAGGAGTTGAGAGAGGAGATAAATTCATTAAAAATATAGTCTTTTTTCACGATAGGCTTGGAATTGGTTCTTCCAAACACCACTTCTCGATTCGAAATCCACATTTAAAACCCTACCCTCCTTGACGTTCATCACTGATAGCATTGCCATAATATCATCCATAGCAGGAAGAATTAGTTTTTCTATAAAATTTGTTTGATTAAATAATACACCATCGTGACGTGAAATTCCATGTTGTAAAGATCTAATTCCATTGTTGATTTTCAAGTCGAATTTTTGTTTAGCATTTATCCAATCTTCAATTTGTTCAGTACGTTTAACAAGATCACCAATAGTATCATTAATATTGTTGATTGAATTAAGTATCTGGTCCAGTTTGGTCATAATTCCATTTTGTTCACCTGCTAGCATCTTATAATCATTAATAGTTGATTTAGTTGGACGCAGTAAAGGAGGAAATTCAGATGTTGAGGTAAACATATTATTGAACATATCATTATTAAACGACTTGTTGGAATATGATAAGAGAATTTTGGTTAAATCAGCTCTATATTGCTTGACCACCTTACATTTCATATCGTTTGCATGATGATCACCACCACAATGTAAACATTTAGCAATACCAGAACAATTATGTTTAATAATATCAGGATAACGTTCACTACAAACTTTACAAGTATCATCTGTTTGCTTGCATTGTTTGCGAAAATGCCCTACCCCAAAACATTTTGTATAAATAAGAATAGTTGCTTGTGGTAAATATTCTTTAACATCATATTTAACATAGTTAATGACCATATGACCATTGGATAAAATTTCATCACGTGTTTTTGAAGAGCTAAACTCGACTTTGACAATTTTAGTAAAGCCATCGACACATTAGAAGATCCCCTCCCCCTCTTAAAAAAACGATATTTTGAAACAGTTTCTGGAGTTTATTGACTTGTTTAGTATTTAAGCCTAGAATGATATCGAAATTCAGTACGAACAATATCTTGCTTCCTCCCTCATAACCAAGTGTCAAGCTCAAATGAGTAAAATCCTGAGAAGCAACTAATAGGAAACAACTGTCTATTAAAGATTGCGTTTCTTTGTAAAAAATATACCATGGAATCATTTTAGTACTCCTTTGCAGCTTACTTTGAATACATTATTCAGGCTCTATACACGAAAAAACACGCTTCCATAGTCATAGGATCTAATGAACGCAGTGCCCGTTCGTGCATGTAACATGTGAAAGGATCTTTGTACAATAGTAACAGATTAGGTAAAGTGTCACTTTGTATTAATTAAAAGGTCTTTTCATCTTTGACTTTCTTCTAGAAAATCAGAAACGTTTTCACTACAAAACAGTCTTTCATAATTGAAGAAAACATAACTTCATGCACAGTCTATACAAAAAGTTCTGGGACACTGAAGAATGGTTCTGCAAAATTTTATATTTCATTTGAAACAAACTTTATATATATTTTAAGTATAGTTACTGATTACAGTTTTATATAATATTAAAACTAGAAGTTTTGTGTCGGTAGAGTAAAGTACGAAAGTTTAACCAGTAACTATGCTTAAAAAATATATATAAAGTTTATTTCAAATGAAAGATGAAATTTCGGAGAGCCATTCTTGAATGTCCCAGAATTTTTTGCGTAGAGTGTATAAACGTCGAGATTTGATATGTGAGTACTTTTTTTGAGTTTCAGAATGCATTTCTTTTTTCAATAAGGTACAATGCCATTTATTGAAACAGACGCAAAAGAAAAACGGTGTGTGTATTCAACTGCTGATTTTCTATAGATAGTTTCTTCATAAGACAATCGTATTCATTGAAGTTAACTTAAGATTAATAACTTTGCTAGGAACAGAATTCACTATGAATAGATTCCATCTATACTAATCATATCTCCACATAAGCAACTGAATAAAATGAGTTTGATAAAAAAAATTAATTTTCTTTTTTTACATTTATTTAGTTATTGAGAAGGTAAAATGTTGCCAGTGATAGGTGTTAGTCTAGAGAAAAAAAGAACGATATGGGATATCGTACCAAGATGCTAGGCTAAATTGACTGTATTGTCCTAAGAACACTTCTTACCAACGATGGTCTCCCTTTTTTCACAGGATGATATCTGGTTCTTTCTTATTCTACACATGTGAAATAAGTGAAGCAAACTCATTTACCAATGATATATTGGACAAAAATCAAGTGAAGCCAAGGTTTGTAGGTGGGATTGCCAAAAAATATGATTTTTTTAAGGGATATAATAGAAGACACCCCTTTTAACTTATGAACGATAAGACAGAATAGAAGACCCCGGGTCTTCTAATGTGTCGATGGCTTTGCTTGATATTATAGGAAAAAAACCTGAAAAAAGAGTAGATTATAGGAGTATTTCTTAAGATATAGGAAATATAGGACGACTATGAAGCTTGGATATTAGTATAAGAAATAGATGTTCTTTGAAAAATAAACCTTCCTTAAAAGTTTTCCTTTGTTATACTTTTCTAAGATGTCGAATTTCATTTTAAATAAACAATGTCAAAGAATTCTAAACAAAAATTTATTGATGGTTGATTGATGATGAAAGAGTATATATACATATCCTCTTAATAGATTTTCATATTTAACAATTTTAAATGAATATTTTTACTATAATCCTAATATTATGAAGCATTATTATTCGAATGATCATATATAGATAATATCAATCATTTTACAGAAGAAGTTTCTTGATCATCAACATCAATTTTACGTTGAATATTTAACGTCATCATCAACAAATTATCAATTATTAGAACTTTTTTACTCATGCACACTGATACAACAGATAATTTATTTATCTGATCTTGTTTACCCTAGATTTATTCGAAATTATTTACTGATTTGGATCATTTATTAAAAGGAAATTAATTCTCATTATGATCAACATTCAAAATTCTTTATATAGTGGAAGAAAATCCATACAAATAGAAGCGTTATTTTTATTAGTTTTATTCATTGAACAATATCTTTGATTATGATATTTATATTCACATTTTCTCAATGAAATTTCCTTTATCAGCATAAGCGAGAATAGCAACACCATTTTTATCGTGAAGTTTTTAGGCATAAATGTGGGTGTGCAGGAGAACAAAGAGAAGATAAATGTCAATTTCTATTTATCTTATATTTCTCATTGGTATTCACTTTAACCAACACAACCTAACAGTTGCAGTAACGCTCTCCTACATTTATACCAAAAAAAAACATTTCAATCTAAAAATCTAATTGAGGATCACAGGGTGCATAACAATTATTCTAACTCAAGAAACAGTAAGTAAGAGAAATTTTTAAGGCATTTTCGAACAAACCTTATAATGTGATACAACGGTCAAAAACATTTCTGATCATACTTATAAATAGCGGAACTTTCATTGTATTATTGAAAATCTCTTTCGAAATTTTTCCCATTCTCACTTTCTTGTTATTCTACAAGGATACTAACGTAAAAGAAAGAATTATCTCATTTCATCCTTACAAGAGTAAATATATCCATTGAATTATCCTTTTCAATAATATGTCATCTTTAGGTAAATATATAATAATAAACAAAATGTCAATCATCATCTTCCGAATATTTGTCATCTTGTTAAAATATTTACATATATTTAGACACTATTACAATTATTAATAAAAATCAAAGTAAAAATATTGAAAAATA